GGCCCTGAGCTCCGGGCTGGGGTCCCCAGAGTCCCTGGCTTTGGGGGTTGCAGGTAAAGAATTGCGAGAGGAGTGTGAGGGTGTCAGGTCCCGAGGCCTCTGCCAAGGGACTACCATGTTTACCCTACCTGGAGCACCCGTGGCAGAGGCCCCACCCTGCTCCTGGGGAAGGCGGGGGAGGGTCCCTTGCCGACCAGGGCCTGCCATGTGTTCTCGCTGTGACCCTGGCTTGTGCTCCACTTTTCCCCAGCCACCCCCTATAGACACCTGTTACTACTCGGAGCTCCCTGATGGTCTTTTTTGGGGCTCACAACCTGGGGGGGGGGGTCCTGGCTTCTTCTCTCTAGCGGCTCTTCCTTGTCTGGGACCCTGGTCAGCTTCCAGGACCCAACCCAGGTACCTGCCCGGGTCAAGGAGCCTGCAGTGACCGAGGGCCTCAGCTCCAGTCTCCCTAGGAACGTGCTCAGTGAGAGGGAGCGCAGGTGAGTGGCTAATTTGTGGAGGAGCCCTCCTCGCCCCGCCTGGTTTTAAGGGATGGGGGCTGTGACTGCCTCCTGGCCTCAGGCAGCCAGGGCCAACTGACCAAGGTAAATCCACGTGGGGGGGTCCAGCAGCACCCTGTGGCCTGAAGCCCAGGCATCTGGAGGTTGTACGTTTGTGATCCTTTAGACCTGTACACTGTGTCACCACTGTCCACACCCTGGTCCTTCTGGGATGGCGAGGCTGACCCCTGGAAACCCTCACCTCAGACAGCTGGAGAGTTAATTAGTGGCCTTGGCCTCTGCTGGTTCCCGGGGAGAGATCCTTTTGGTGCCAGCAGCTGCTGCCCCTTCTGGTGGAGGCTGGATGGGTTTGTGGACTTTTTTTATTTTTCTGGGCACAGGAGGCGGATCTCTGTGAGCTGTGAGCGCCTGCGGGCCCTGCTGCCCCAGTTTGATGGCCGGCGGGAGGACATGGCCTCCGTCCTGGAGATGGCTGTGCAGTTTCTTCAGCTCACCCACACCCTGGTTCCTGGTGGGGAGCAGCATGCTGTAAGTTGTGGGTATATGGACTTGGTCTGGCGAGGATGGCCCAGCGTTGCTCAGGGGCAGTGTCCTCTCCAGCTTCATGCCTCCCTCCACAGCCTGGGCTGGCTGTGGCTTCTGCAGGGCACTTTGTTCAAACTGTTCCTGTTGCTATTCTTCCCCTGGAAGGGGACCTGCTTCCCCAGTCCTGTTGAGTGAGCAGTTGCCCCATGCTTGATGCCAATACTGGGGAGAATCAGGGTGTCCTCATGCTGCCCTGGCGGAGCACCACATAGACCCTTTCCCTGCAGCTTTGCCTGAGAGAAGGCATGGGTCTGTGAGCCGTGAGGGCTTCACCAAGTCTCCGTAGCCCCTACAGTGAGGGGGGTGTCCACATGTGTGGGGACGGGGGGCCAGATGGGGATAGGGTGAGGCCTGGGTGTCACCCTGTGCCTGCAGCCTTGTCCTGAGTGCAGGGTGAGCTGTATGTGAAGCTCTGGCTTGCTGGTCACCTGTGGGACAGCTGCTCTGACCAGAGCCCTGACAGCCTCCCAGCTGACCTTGTGATTGGTGTGTTTGTTGAATTAACTCTTTGAGGTATTGGGGATCAAACGCAGGGACTGTGCATGCAGGCAAGTGCTCCAACACTGACCACATCTTGAGCGCTATCTTCGTTGGTTTTTTAATTAAAATCAAAACTGAGGGCTGGGGCTGAGTTGTAGAGCGCTCACCTAGCATGTGTGAGGCCCTGGGTTTGATCCTCAGCATCACTTAAAAATAAAAGTTGGACTTGTGTCCAGCTACAACTAAAAAAAAAAAAAATTGTGATAGAGTCTCACTGAGGTGCCCAGGCTGGCTTTGAGCCTGTGATCATCCTGCCTCAGCCTGCCAGCAGGACATCACCACGCCTGGCCCATGTGTGTATGTGTGTGTGTGTGTGTGTGTGTGTATGTGTGTGTGTGTTTGAATTCCAGGTTCCTGCTTCCTCCAGGGAGGCTTGGCACAGGTGGAGCGAGGAAGTTCTGCAGTTGACCTTGGCGAGCCAGATTCCAGCCGGTGGGCCTGACCCTGGGACGGCAGCATCCACTGTGACTCCGTTAGTGTCCACTGGGGCCCATCCTTAGGGTTAGGGGATGTCCAGGGACAGCAGAGTCACCTGTGATCTCGAGAACTAGAAACTTGCTTAGGCCCCGACTCATACCAGTGGCGTCACTGTCACTTGGTTAGGATCTAGTGTTTCCAAAGGTGTCATGTTTAGCAGATGTGGGGGACTGGACTGGTGTGGGGGAGGGGTGCTCAGTACTTGGCTCAGTATTCCCCACCCCCCTCTGTACACTGTCCAGGCAGCAGGACCCCCTGGCTGTGGACAAGAGTGAGGTGCTGGACGGGCCACCCTCCCTCCCAGGTAAGTGACCACGTCCAGGGCAAGTCAGGAGACCTCCAGCCCTAAGAGTGGGGAGCGCTTTTCCTGGGGGCAGGTCCAGTTTCCACACTGTCTGTGTGCGGGGGACCCGTGCTGATGGTTTTCTTTTCAGGTAGCCCTGTACTCCCTGCCCTGGCCCTAACCACCTCCACTCCCCAAGGACACGCCCCACTTCCTCCTGTCTTCCTCCAGGGGCCTTGGGGGTGCACCAAGGCCCTCGGCCCATCTTGGGCACCCAGCTGACCTATTCCATGTCTAGTTCTAGCAGCCACCGTTGGCTGTTCGGGGCGTCCCCTGGCTGTCCATGGTGGTCTTGTGGCTAGATGGGCCACCGCTGTGCCCACTCTCTGCCTCTGCTGCAGGGGTGCTCTTGTGGGGACCCACCTCGGGCCTGCAGCCTTCCAGCCACCTTCCCCTGTGCCACCTTCCTTCCTTGAGGCTACTATAGCCAAGCTCTCTCAGGTGGCTTTGGGGTCACCCTGAGGGGCACCTGTGATGACCCTGACCCTGATGGCACTGGTGCTCCTGACTGTTCGTCCCCTCTCAGATGTGTTTGCCACTTCTGGAAATGGTTCTGCCGCCGGGTGATACCTCGTGACCCTACAGATGTACTGCTGCCGTGGGTGGGGCTTGCTGTGGGCAGAGCTGGCATGGCCAGCTGCAGCGGTCCTGTGGCAGGCCACAGGGGCTCAGTGGAAGGGATCCCAGACCCGAGGCTTCCTGCTCCCCAGGTGTTAGGCCCCTGCTTCTGGGCAGCCCTCTGCCTGGTCACCTGTCTATAGCCCACTTCTGGGGCCTCTTCCATGAGTCCTTGTTGTGGGGCTGGACTTGGTCAGATCAAGAGGGCATGGGGGCAGCAGACAGGTGACCTGCTGACTGTGTCCCCCTCCTCAGAGCCCTTCAGCCTGGTGCCCCGGCCCCCATGCTGGCCGCCCTACTCACAGTGGCCGAGCTCCCCCAAGGTGAGCCAGGAGGCTCCTGATGGTCTGGGCCAGGCGGGGCCCCCAGCCAGAGTCCCCACATCCCCAGGTGGGCTGGCTGAGGAGGCAGCCCTGACACCTGTGGCAGATGCCAGGTGGGTGCCCATGGGCGTGCATGTGCGTGTGTGGGGAGTGTGTGCGTGAGCGTGCTTACTGGGCCAGCTACCGCAGGCCGCCCTCCAGCCGCACCCTGGGCCTTTCCCCTCACCTGGAAGCTTCCACTCTGGTGCCCAGCAGGTCTGCGAGGGGGGCTCAGGCGGTCAGGCCGGGACCAGCTGCCTGGCTGCGTGGCTTTCTAATGTTGTTTCTGAAAACACTTTTGTCTCCTAATTGTCTCTTGTTTTGGCTGACGGCAAATGAGTTTGTGTTTTGGGAGCGCACACCAGCTGGGCGTGGGAGGGAGCAAGGCTGCACTGGAGAGGAACCAGCAGGGGTGCTGGGGACAGGCCTGGGCTTGGGCTCCGCCTGCACCCCTTGGTGCAGCAGTGGGTGGTTTCTGCACGAGCTCCCGTGGGGGCTGGAGCCCCTTTGGATATGAAGTGGCTTCTTGGGCCTAGGTCCATCGGTGGTCTCTTGGGGTTTTTTCACTTTCAGGTCTGTGTCAGGATCCAGTGTGGAGGATGGGACGTCCTTCCTGCTGACGGCCAGTCCTGACTGGTGGCTGGGTGAGTGGGGGCCGAGGTCCAGGCTGCCTTCACCCTCGCCAGCCCCGGCACTGGGGCCTCAGCCCTTTCCACGGAGCTAGGGTGGTCGTGCCGGGGCCCAGCTGGCTGTGCATAGTGCAGTTTCCAGAGTGTGTCTGGGTCTCCACCTCCCTCTGGCTGGTGGTTGTCAGGGCGACAGGCAGGGAGAGTCAGAGGTAAAGCATGTGTGTGAGCGTCTGTGTGCATGCACATGTGATGAGGTGTAAGAATGAGCACACTTGAGTGTGAACATACATGCGAGTGAGCATGCACGTGCCTGTGAGCTTGCATGTGACCGCTGTGAGCAAGAGTACGTGGGCGTGTGTGTGAGGAGCATGCCTGTGAGCCTGAGACGTGTGTGGACATCTGACCTGTGGAGTGGGCTGTGTGGGGTCCTGGGCCTTCTCTCAACCCCACATCGTCACAGAGGCCCCTGGAGGTGTCTGGATGGTCACGTGTTGGGTGTCGGTCTTCCCCTTTAGGTCCTAGAGCTGGGATACCCTCACGATCTGGCTGGGAGCAGGGTCTCTGCACTGGAGGACTGGGAACCACGGGGAGGCAGGGCTTACCCTCCCAGAGGAATAGAGAGTGGTGGAGGGAGCCCCACTGTATGCCCTGCCCCTGCCCGCCTGCCCCAGTGTCCAGGGCACCCTCCTCCTCTGCTGATGTGCCTTTTGCTCCTAGGGTCCCTGGAGGGAAGAGGAAGCACTGTCCCACCCTGGGCCCCAGCCCGGAGCAGCCCAGCACAGCGGGCAGAGCCAGCCTTCCTGGGCGACCCTGAGCCTGGCTCCCCGGAGCTCCAGGATGGTCCCCTGGAGCTGTGGGGCTCTGACCTGGGCAGCTGGGGCCTGGAACTGCGGGAGGAGGTGGACGGCATCCTCCCTGATTTCCTTGCCTGCTAGCCACTGCCGGAGGGGCAGGACGGCCAGGCCCGGAGCCTGGGCAGCCTGTGTGTCCCTCACGTGCCGGTGCCTTACTTTGGGCTGGGTTGCAGCTGTGCCCTAATCTGAGCGAGCCTGGCAGGGCTGTGCGCCCGGAGGCTGGATATTAAAAAGGGAAAGCGATTTTCCTGGAGGAGAACAAACCCTGTGGCTTTTGTGTGGTGAATCGGATTCATCAGGCAGATGCGCCACCTCCATTCAGAGCACAGGCAGCGGCCCCCCACGCTGACGTCCCTGAGTGACCCAGGCTGGGTGGGGGTGCTGCAGCTCTGGGTCCCGCTCCCAGGGAGGGTGGTCTGAGGGCTGCCGTCCTCTTCAGCGTCCCTCAGGGCTGTGGGCCGGGTGTTTGGACTGTGTGGGGTCCTTTCAGGATGACCCTCGTGTCCCTCTCTCAGCCCAGGGTGCCCCAGGGAGGGGCTGGCTAACTTCTCGCCATGGCCACGGCTGCCCTTGCCACGATGAGGTTGTTGGGGACCCTGGGCCAAGGCCACCTGCCCCCCACATCTGTGGAGGGACTCGGTTCCTGCCAGCAGGGGAAGCAAGCCCCAGGTCTTGTCCTCCCTCCCCCCAGGGGACTGCAGGCTTGCCCTTCTGTCTCCATCTGGACTCCAGGCCCAGGTCCTGTGACCCCACCCCCACAAATGAATGCTGGGGCCAGAGCAGCCTCAGGTCTCCCAGAAGATGGGGTTCTGAGTGTAGGCTCAGCCTCCCGGGTTCCTCGCCCCCACAGCCGGCGGAAGGTTCCATTCATTCTCTGAGTCACTCTGACGAGGCCTGGAGCTGCTGGTGTGGGAGGGAGGCGCTGGCTGGCTGCGTGGAGCCAGGTCGTCACAGACCCTGGGTGTAGGAGGACGAGCCCCTCAGCCCGGAGCAGGGCAGGGCTGTCCAGGAGCCCATCTGTGTGCCCGCTGGGGTCCTTTGGCAGGGGCTGGGTCCAGGTGGACACCAGAGGTGTGGCTCTCACCTGTGGACCAGCATCCTCCTGGCCCTCTTGTCCCCTCTTGGCCTAAGGATCATGATAAGAGCCTGGCACAGAGGTCCAGTGGTGGTCGGGGGCCCCGGCTGCTGCATCCCAGAAACATGCAGATCCTCAGAGTTCCAGGACGAGGCCTCCGGGCACCCTGTGCACCTCTGGGCTTTTCAGTCAGACCCCCCACTGGTGGCCATAGGAAGCTTTGGCTCTGGCCAAGCTGAGGTGCCAGAGCCAGGCCTAAGAGGCCCACCTGAGGCCGGCCTCACCTGTAGCCCGGTGAGGGAGGACTCAGGCTTGTGGACAGACCTGACGGGTGCCCTAGGGCTTGGACAGGCAGGACACTGGCCTGGCCCCTGACTTCCCCAGAAGGTGAGGGACAGACTCCATTCCAGGAGACTCCAGGCGGAATGGACCCTGCCTCTCTGAGGGTCTTGGCAGACGTGCATTCAGGGCTGGAGGTGGGGAGGGTCTGTGGGCAGGCTCTGCCATGCTCGTGTCCACCAGCAGGACAGGGGCTGGGGTCTCTGGAAGAGCATCTCAGGGGCCCGTGGCATGTGTGGTGGTCCTTGGGTCTTGATTACCTTCTGTTGGAGGTGGCTGCTCAGGGGTCTCTGTCCCTCCTGCTCTCGAGGTTGTGGTGGGGGTACAGCTTCCTCTTTGTCACCTTCCCCACCTGCTACAGGGTTGAGTTCCTGGACACTGGTGGCCCAGGATTCTGTGCAAATGGCTGGTGCCAGGCCTTGGCTGAGGCCCTGCCTGTTGGGTGCAGGAAGAGTGCTGAGGTCCCTGGGCTGGGAGCCCCCCACCCCAGAGTGGCCAGGTTCCTGCAGGCAGAGTCCACACCCAGGACTGGCCCTTCCTGCCACACTGGTGGGCTCACAGGGTGTTCCCTTTCCCTGCTGCAGTGGCCCCCAGAATCCACATCTTCCTGGAACCTCAGATTATGACTTTATTTGGAAACAGGGTCTTTGCAGGTGTCATTAGTTGAGGATCATGAGACCCTCCTGCATCAAGGGTGGGCCCCCAGTCCAACAGCGGGTGTTCTTACAGGATCCTGCGGGGTGTTGCAGTGCAGTGCTGAGCACACACGGGTCCAGTCCCAGCACTGAGGGGGAAGGAAGAGGGGAGTGTGGAACAGCCGCAGGGAGAGGCCTGGGACCACGCAGCCTGTGGTCAGTGACAGCAGGGCCTGGGGACAGTCACGGCCACAGTGTCACTTCTTGGAGTTGGAATTGGCTGGTTGGCCCTTTCTGTTGCCCCAGGTGTTAAACTAGGTGCTGCAGGTACCCCAGGGTCAGTGGTCAATGAAAGGTTGATCCTCTTTCAAAGGTGGCAAGTTGGGGGCCCATATCCCCACCCATGGTCCATCTGTGCTGCCCCAGACTATGCCCTGCTACACAGCCCCTGGCTCAGCTCCCCTCACCACGGGAAGCATGGTCCCTGCAGATGGGCAGTGATGTGGCTGCCCCAAGTGTCCCTGGGCTCAGCTGGTCACTCTGTGCTAGTGCTCTCTGGGCTGTGACTTGGCACGCACGCGCCTGAGAGGAGGTGCTGGTGGCCCTGCCTGCACAGTGATGAGCTCTCCTTGGCATCATCTCAAAGCTCAGTGGCCATCACTCACCCAGGACGACAGAAGCCAGCACCTTGGTACTGCCAAGGTGCCAGAGCATGGCTGGCCTGCAGCAACTGCATACCAAAGCCAGCAGTTCGTGAGGCCCTGGCCTGAGCCTTAAGGCCAGCACCCAGGGCTGTGGAAATTGGCACGTTTGCCCTCATCCCAGGAACCCAAGGTGCTTGGGCAACTAGGGGTGCTTGGTGTGCCTTGGAAGAGGCAGAGACTTCTGGGAGGTGACATGACCCCTGAACTACTGTCCTGGGCCACCTGCCGGGCACCCCCTTTCACCTTCCACTGCCAGGTGGAGACCGTGGGTGCTGGGGCCGGGGTGGGAACACCTGGCAAGTCGTGGCAGTTAAGGACTGCCCGAAGTCCACCCCCCGGGACCCCCAAGGTGCGTCCCTGGGGCTCTCCCTCCCTCCATGTTCCAGGTTAGACCGTGTCCCACACCACGGCCCTGTGGCAGGGACAGGAGTGCCGGCTCCCCGCCCTGCCTGTGGGATGGACCTCACTGGCCTATATCAGTTGGAGTAGTTCAGGGGTCACCTGAACTACTGGCTGCCTCCTGAAGTGGCCCTGTGCTGGGGACAGCTCTGCTTCTGTTCTCAGCCTGCAGGTGTGTCCACTTGCACCATGGCTGCCAGCACAAAGGCCCGGGGACTTTACCTCTGCCAAGGCCCTCACCGCAGGTGTAGGATATGGCCCCAGTCCATCAGCATCTGAGTGGCCCAGTTGGATCTGTCCCGGGCCACCACCAGGCCTCCGTGTCCATCGATGTGTTTTTACTGCTGGATTGCGTTCCTGGCCCTGACCTCCGCTCGCCTGCCTTTGGGATTTGTAGAATGGAACAGCACAGAGCAGTCTTCTAGACTGGCACTGCATGGCTGGTTGCAATGTCTGTGACAATCACCTGGGAGTCACCCTGCTTCTTTCAAGATGGCTTTTTGGGGTCTGTCCTTTGTGACTCCATGTACATCTCCAGGCTTCGTCTGTGTTGTGGAGGGGTCGGAACTCCTCCTGCTGAGGCTGAGAGCTGTGGTGTGTGTGACGTGTGGGTCATCCCTCCTCTGTTTGTGATGGTGGCTCTTGGGACTGCTGCTGCCCGGAGCACCAGGGTGCGTGTGCAGACGCAGTTGAGACCTGGCCTTTGTCTTCAAGCGTCCACATGTGCAGAAGAAGGATTGCTGGGTGGACGGTGGTCATTCTCAGTCTATAGAACGGCTGATCTTTGTTGATTTTGCAGAATGTGCTGGTGGTCCTGCTGGTTCTGGTGGCTCTTCTGTGGCAGCTTGTGGGCCATGTGTGGTCGTGGGGACTCCCTTGCACCTCTGGGGATGCTCCTGGGACCACCCTCCGGGCCTATTCCTCTGCTCACCTCTGTTCTTCTGGTTTTGCTGCCTGTGCGCGTCCTTTGGAGATGTGCAGCTGCCCCTGTAGCTCAGTGTAGGATGGTACTGCCAAGTCACAGGACGTCTTGTCTTTTTCCCCCGCAGGGTGGCCAGGCCATTCTGCATTGTGACTGACGACATATGCATTTTGGTTCTGTGTCCTTGCAAGCAAGCCCAGTGACTCTGTCTTCAGTTAGCTGCTCCAGTGGGTGGGGAGTGACGCAGCCTCTCGGCTGGGATTTCGTCTGTGCCAGCTGAGGGTGCCAGTGTACTCATTCAGCAGGAAGTCAGCATAAGTCACGCGCTTGAGCCATCAGCTCCCAAGATACCTCAGGTCCTGAAACCCACCACATCTACAAACTCCCGCCCCGGAGGGACGAGGACCCTCTGAGGATGTGGTGAGCCATGGTTTCTCACAGGGCAGCCGTGTGCACTGCTGCCCAGACACCCCTGTGGGGACCTGTGAGTAGCTGTTAGGAGCAGGGGGCTGCCCTGTGTGTTCAGGTCTTTGGCCTCCTCACTGATTCTCACCCTGTGTCCCCACCATTCCCCACCATTAGGCTAAGTCACCGTGCCCAGAGAGCCCAGCCCCAGCCCTTGGGCCCTGTGGACGTGACCTTGAGCAGGGCCTGGATTGCCCCATTACCTGGGGTTCCCAGGTCAACCACAAGGAAGAAACAAGGAGATCGTGTGCATCTGTGTGCACGTGTGCATCTGAGTGCGTCTGTGTGCATGTGTGTCTGTGTGCACGTGCATGTGCATGAGCAGGCATGCAGCTCCTGGTGTCTGCAGCAGGTGCTCAGCGGCACACACCCACTTCCATGAGCAGCCTGCCTGCTGGGCTGTGGACTCTTAGGTTTTGCAGGAAGCAAGGAGCCTTTGGGTCTGGAAATGCCCCCAGTGGAGTCCTGGGGGTGCCCGGCAGGCTCCTGGGTCTCAGCCCAGCGTGCCGACTTCAGGGTGGTCAACCCAAAGGAGACAAGGCCCCAGATGCTGCGGAGATTCTCTAGCAGCTGGGCAGGCAGGCGTGAGGGGGCAGTGTCAGACATGGGGACGTTTCTGGGTGGGCTGAGCACTTGTCAGGAATGCAGCTGCAGAGGGAGCTGGAGCTGCTGTGGCCCTGGGTTGACTGTTCTCCAAGTCTCTAGGAGGCCATGTTACCTGCTC